CAGCCCATTTAGACCTGCAGAGGCTGTTGAGTGCAATGTCAGAGATAGAGCACAGAGCAGTTTAGACAACTCTCTTGATAAGCTTTGGCTTATCAAGTGTCTGGGTGAATGGATGCATGGTCAGCCAATGAACCTTGGCAGGATTTTCTCAACCTTAGGAGCAACAAAACCAACAGTGTCTCAAAATTATCAAAATCGCTCAAGCAATACCCTCAGGACATTCTTCTCCACATTGGGTTTTCTAATATGACATCCAGCGGACATTCCCCATCCCCAGTAACTCTGGGTGGATTAGACCTCTCAGTCACGGTACCAACCTGGATCTGTTGTGCTACTGACATTAAAGCGGTGGACCATTCCTCAGACAAACTGAGTATTTATGGAGACTTAAAATTTCTGAATGAACAAAAACCAACTCAACATCCAGTCTGTTTTTTTCTGCTTGTAAGAGCTAAAACTTAAGATCATAAAGAAGCAGGGCCTTGGGCACTGGCACGGTGGCCTATCAGCTAAAGTCCTTGCCGTGAATATGCTGGGATCCCATATGGGCACCAGTTCTAATCCTGGCAGCCCCACTTCCCATCCAGCTCCCTGCTTGTGGCCTGGGAAAGCAGTCAAGGACAGCCCAAAGTCTTGGAACCCTGCACCCTCCTGGGAGACCAGGGCAAAGTTCCTGGCTCCTGGCTTTGGATGGGCGTAGCACTGGCTGTTGTGGTCACTTGGGGCGTGAATTATCGGATGAAAGATCTTCCTCTCTGTGTCTCCTCCTCTTTATGTATCTGACTTTGCAATCAAAATAAATCTTAAAAAAAAAAAAAAGAAGAAGAAGAAGAAGAACAAGCAAGGCTTCTACCCACAAAAGGGAATCTCAATCATTTGGAAATCCAAATGAGAAAAAAGCAAAAGAAGAAAAAAAGAAAAGAAAAAACCAATGTACTTAATATTAAATCTTTCATTCCTCATAAAGCTTTTTAAGATGGTTTCATTGCATACAGGCTTTAAGAAATCAATTGGGGTCTGGCTCAGTAGCCTAGCAGCTAAAGTCCAAGCCTTGAACGTGCCAGGATTTCATATGGGTAATGGTTCTAATCTTGGAGTCCCTGCTTCCCGTCCAAATCCCTGCTTGTGGCCTGGCAAACCAGTCAAGGACAACCCAAAGCCTTGGGACCTGCATATATGTAGGAGACCCAGAAGAGGCTGTGGGCTCCTGGCTTCGGACGGGCGCAGCACCGGCCACTGCGGTCACTTGGGGAATGAATCATTGGATGGAAGATCTTCCTTTCTGTCTCTCCTCCTCTCTGTATATCTGACTTTCCGATAGAAACAGAAATCTAAAAAAAATCAATATGAAATGTAAATAAAGTTACCCAAGTCAATGAAAACTCAGTTAAAAAAAAGGCCACCTCCACAGAGCTAGACAAAGGAAGTCACTCATACTTGTTCTAGTTATGAAAACACAAAACACAGCTTTCCTCAGCTTGTTTAAGCAAACACATGCACACATAAAAAGTGTTCACTTTGAACAAAGATATCAAAAACTTCCCTATACCTCATATTCTAGACTAGATTGGCCCAGATGGGTTTCAACTTAAAATAGCTCTCTAAAGTTGAAAATGATTTAATTCCAGGAAGTCATATCTAAATAAGTGGAATGACCCAGGCCAAAAAAATTTTTATAACCAACCTGTCCCAACAAAGCCCCATCATGGCAGGCATGAATGTTGTCATTCTTCATATTCTCTTTCCTGATATGATCATAGCTACTTACTCCAGATCTTACCAAATGTCACCTTAATGAGAAACCTAATTCCTGGACAATGCAATTTAAAAATTAAACCCCCTTCCTACAAAAACATACAACCTTATCTTCCTACTTGGCTTTATTTTTGCTTCACAGCGCCCAGTACAACACAGCATGTCCTAGATGTTTCTGTTTGTCTGTCTCTCTTGAACAAAATGCAAACACCATGACTGCAGTTCCGTTGTCTGCTTTAGTCACTACTGTTTCTAGTATCTAGAACAGTATATGCACATATAACAAACATAAACAAAAGAGTGGAAAGAGGTAAAACTACAAACAAAAAGACAACAACTTGTTCTACCAAAACAAACAAACAAACAAACAAAAAGCACCTAGTACATAGTAGAGCCTGAATCTCAAGCCCAAGTAGTTCATATGCTTTCACAAATACCTAGAAACTAATTTTTGAGTTTCTATTCTTTTTTAAAAAAAAGATGTGTTTATTTGGAAGGCAGAGCATCACAGATTGAACTGGAACTAAAGCTGGAAAGATCTTCTTCCATCTGGTTCACACACCAAATGGCCAGAGTAATTGGGGCTGGGTCTGATTGAAGCCAGGAGCCAGTAACTTGACCTGAGTCTCCCACATGGCGGTAGTGGCCCAACTACTTGAGCCATCATTTACCGCCCTCCCTGTCGCCCTAGCACAGAGTTGGATCAAAACAAAGCAGACAGGACTCACATCAGTCACTAGCAGCCCACCACACTATCACACAGATCCCACAAGTCTACTTTACAATAACTACCACATCACATGGGCAAGCATAACAACTCAAGTCTCCAAAATTACTTATCTTCACTTATGTTATTTAGCTATTTTCAAATTTACATTAACTAACTTAAACTTTTTCTCATCAGATCACCAAACTAGCTGCAAACTTCCAGCTTTTAGTGTCCATAAAGTATGAGAGAATATTCCAATGGATATTAACCTTTATACCCAGAAGCACAAACTGTAAAAACAGTTCTTACAGAAGCCATTCTAAAAAAGAGGCACAAGGGACATAAATACAAGCCTCTCTCTTTCTGAGACTCTGAAGACAATAATAAATACTTTCAGATCATTCTAGTCCAGGTAATAAGAACAAGAAACAACGGAGCAAACCTGAGTCCCTTATTTTCCTAGCATGAATCTATCATACTTACTATAGTACAAATTAAGCTTATCCAAACACATGTATTATCGCTCTTACTTTTCTGACTTCTTTCCTGAAAAATGATAATAGTGCCTTGCTTTCTGCTGCATATTCTCTACAAAGACTTGTCCAGCTCCATACTGAAGAAGAGCCATGGAACTTCAATTACTTGTGGCAGATGACTAAGCACAAAGATCACGTAGCTAATCCTCTCACTTGTAACAGCAGAAAGGATCTTTCCTGTTTAAAGCTACATATGACTTGTCAGTGTCAGAAGCTAGATTAGTATCCATGTTTTTGCATTCCCTTCCAAAACAAAATCTTCGTCACTGCTCCAGTATTAGAGATAAGAAAGATATTTTTTGTGTTAAAGAACTAGAGAATTTCTGGCTTTTTGAACTATGTAAGCTCTCCGAAAGAGAACAATGCATCTAATTGAACCTACAGTCTCAGAATTTAGATTTGTTCCTAGCACCCAGTAGGAATTAATCTGTATTTACCAGATTATCAAATGTTCAACTATGAGTTACTTTATCAAAAAAGGGGGAAAATCTTGGATCCTCATCCATTAAACATTTTTAAACAGTTATAAAAGACTTGAAACGTAAAATAACAATAAGACAAAAAATTCTTATTGTTTAAAAACAAAGTGACTAAAAAGTTTTTCCACAATCAAATAAAAATAAGTGTAACTTCTTTTCCTCCTTCCCAGCAACTCCTCTCATGGGTCGCACAAGCAGCTGCTGGCCCAGTACCACCCCAGCAGGGACCCTGATAATGTAGCATCAGTAGCACCCAAGGCTACAGAAGACTCCGAAACTAGAGGAGCCAGAATTGAAATCTACTGCTAAACTTGAATTTAAAGGAAATATATGGGGTCTTAAATAATAAAACTGACCTAAAGTTAACCCAACATATTTATAAGAATCCTAAAAATAACCCATCTCAGAATAAAACTACTTGTATAAGTAATGAATCATTACCACATAACACTAAGTGATCCTTCTAAGAGCTTTAATAAGAAGGAAAAGCATGTGTCATGTTCTTCATTTTGTTCACAAGGCAACTAAGGGTTAAATACAAATCATCTGGCTAGGTTTTCAAAGCAAGGTAAAGTAACAGTCAGGACTGAATCTTAAGTGTTTTCTGCCTTATAATCAAAGTTCTAGCATGAACTTCCATAAGCTAGCCAAAAATGTTGTACAAAAACTAGGGCAAGGTATTCTAGAACTTTTTTTACAAAACAAAATTCTAAAATTACAGTGATGGAATCACTATTCATATTCTCCATACATTTTAAGAATACATATGATGTATATAGAAAGAATACTTAGTAAATAAAGATGAATATTCTTGTGACCTCCTCCATAATTATATCATTTATTTCTCTAAGGAAGAATTTCAAACCATTGTTTTTTGTCATAGTTCTTTTTTCTTTAGTATTCCCCAAATTTGGCTACTAGTAAATCCTAATGGTGATAGGTTTTTGCAATCCAACATGTACAAAGCATTCCAGATGTCTCTGATAAGTCAAATTTGCAATACTCTTCCAACAGAATTCTTAAAATAGTTTAAGAAAGTATAAGCAATTAAAATCTAGGGACAAACAGCTTTTATCAATCTCCCTTACCTCTGTAGTCAGCATAAAAATGAGCATATTGGGAACCTACTCTCCAAATTTAGCCGCCCTTGCCCCAACTTGTCAGAAAAATTCATCTCTATAGACACAGTTTCAACTTAAACATCTTTACGTTCTTACTTTGAATCTACTAAAATTCTAAATCCCAGAACACAAGTATAAGACATGTATATGGCAGCTATTCAACAACGCTAGTGAAAATTAACATAGGAAAGAGGTTTACGGAAAGAAAGGTAAGAGAAAGGGGGAGGACTTGATAACAGTGGGAGGAGTGGCTGGCCTGATGGCTCCCCTGGCACAAATAGCAGCAGGAAACAAAAATATTTCTGAATGGGATTCCTCCCAATGTTACTAAAAGCAGTTCCCAAGAAAGATTTATAAACACGGATAATTATAGTCATAATGGTGACATCAATCTACTTACAAGCTGCCTCTTCTTGGAAGGCTTAATTCTTTCTGCAAAATAAAACACATACAAATTATACAGAAATAAGGGCCCATCTGAGTCACACAGGTTTTTCAAATGTTCTAGGTGATTCACAAAATTATCTCAATAATTACCTCAAGGTAAATGACATAATATCTTCTACATTTTGCTGAAATAAAGAGCTATCAGAATAACTAGCCTTATTAATCCTTCCTCTCTAAAAGAAGTATCTCACAGGTTACTTGTAATATTTTTTCCACTAGATGGAACCATCTCCCCATAAAGATTCCAAGGACTTTTTTTTTTTTTTATCCTTACAAATTTAATTGGGGTAAAAAAGGGTCAAGGTCTAAAGGGGGATATAGAGGAAGAAGCCCCACCCAGTCTCCCGCCCACCCCAAGTCCCGGGTGTGGGGCACGCTCCGAGATACTCGATCAAGTGGTTCCAATAGTTCACCATTCATAGGTCGTTGCCAGTCTCGCCACCCCAATCATGATGTAGTCATTGAAGAGTTCATTGATTGACACAGTCCCTTCTAGGGTCTCCATTTGCCCAGTCTCTGCTGCCAACAGATGGCTGAGGTTGTTGCTTGATTTGTCCTGTCTTTTCCTGGTTAGGACTCCGAGTCCGGTGTCTCGAATGGGAAGATCCTCGAAGAAATTTTGAGGTATTCCCAGTCCAGATTCCTGCTGTTTTAGTAGCATAGGGCCCGTCACAGTCCACTGTCTAAGGACTCTTTAGGTAGGTATTAACTACAAATAATTTGGAAAGCAACTCCAATAATTAGCAGCAGAGATACGAAATGGGATATGGGGAAGGTAAAAAATTACACAAATAAATAATTATTTTTTAAAAACAGAAAATAAATGACTATACATAGTATTGGCATGAAAAACAATCCTTATATTAATAGCTGGAGTCCTTATACTTTGTCTTTCACAGGTATGAAGTTCCAAATCTCACCTTAACTATTCATTTTATTTATTCATTTATTTATTTGTTTGAAAAGCAATGCTACAGAGAGGGAGAGAGAGAGAGAGAGATTTCATCAACTACTTCACTCTCCAAATGGCCCACAAGCCAGGTCTGGGTGAGGCCAAAGTCAGGAGTCAGGAGCTTAAAACAGGTTTCTCACATAAGTATCAGGGCTGGTCCAAATAATTCCACCATCTTGTGATTTTTTTTCTCATGCCACTGCCGGCAGCTGGATCAGAAGTGGAGCAGTAGGAACATGAACCACAATTCAAACAGAATACTGGTGCCAACGGTAGTGACTTTTACCCACTATGCTGCAATACTGGCCCCTTAACTAGTCATAATGTTATTTATCCTATACAAATGTGTTGTTACACTTAGTTGTATCATAAATAATTAGTGTTGTTTTACATATTTGCAAACTAAATATACACATTAATTAATTAAGTATTCATTGAGTATTAATATGTTGATTAAACAATTAATATTGTTCAATCATTTTTTACTTCAGATTAAAATCGCTAGTCAGTAGCCCAGTCCACACATTAATACTTACTTGTCACTTCTCCAGTACATGAAAACTAATTTCCTTTCAATGTTTTCTTTTGCATCAAAATAATTCTCCTATGAATACTCTTGTGTTGCTTCCAAGGGCACATTTGGATATGAAACAATTGTCATAAACTGTCAGATATTCCAGTGTTCCCCAAAACAATTCTATCAATTTACCCCCCTCCTAAACACTTTTGTTAGCATTGCCTTTCTCAAACATGTTGGCCAAATTAACCACCCACTCAATTTCTAGAAGCTACAATGTCTGTAACCTAACTGCTGTTTCTACCATAATTTAACTCTGTCCACAGCCTCAGGCTCTAACCATCAGGGAGATACCAATGAAAACCACATTGAGGTACCATCTAACTCCAGTGAGATTTGCCTATATTCAGACCTCTACTAACAACACCTGCTGGCATGGATGTGGGGAGAAAGGTCCTCTCCTTCACTGCTGTGGGAGTGTAGACCAATATAAACACTATGGAAATCAGTATGGAGAGTGCTTGGAGAATTGCAAATAAACCTGCCATATGACCCAGCTGTCCTGCTCCTAGGTATATACCCAAAAGAAATGAAAACTGCATATGAGAAAGAGATCTGTAATCCTATATTAACAGCAACACAATCTATAACAGCAAAGACATGGATGGAAACAATCCAGATGCCTATCCAAAGAGGAGAGGTTAAAGAAACTATTGAACATCTACTCTGTAGAGTACTACTTAGCCATTAAAAAGAATAAAATTATACGATTTGCAACTAGCTGGTCCCAACAAGAGACCATTATGCTCAATGAAATAAGTCAATCACAAAAGGACAAATACTGTATGTTCTCTTTACTATAAGGAAACCATCATGCCAATTGTAAGTTCAGTAACCCTTTCCATACTGTTCTTTGGCTGCATCCCATGCGTTTTGATGTTTTTTATTTCATTTTCATTTCTTCCAAATACTTTCTTTTCTCTTGCCTAATTCATCGCCGGCTTATGGATCACACGACGACATCATTTTACCCAAGAGGCTTTTTTTTTTTTTATTGGAAAGGCGGATATACAGAGAGGAGAGACAGACAGGAAGATCTTCCGTCCGATGATTCACTCCCCAAGTGAGCGCAACGGGCCGATACTATGCCAATCCGAAGCCAGGAGCCTCTTCCAGGTCTCCCACGCGGGTGCAGATTCCCAAAGCTTTGGGCCGTCCTCGACTGCTTTCCCAGGCCACAAGCAGGGAGCTGGAAGGGAAGCGGGGCTGCCGGGATAGAACCGGCGCCCATATGGGATCCCGGGCATGCAAGGCGAGGACCTTTAACCACTTGCACCACCGCGCCAGGCCCGAGGCTTTTTTTTTTTTTATATCACCCATGAGTTGGCTATTCAGTGCCATGTTGTTTTTTTTTTTGACTCTATGGTGCTATAACTTTCTGTTTTTGTTGTTGTTCTAATTCATATCGGTTGTTGGCCTTATTTCATGGCTTCTCATTTAAGGGAATGTATAGTAATGGAGTGATGGAGACTACCATATCCAGAGGTGGGAACACAATATAATATGCATCCCTGCTTCCAAATCAAAGATGATCTCCCAATGAAACTGTTGGACATGTCTACACAATGGGTGCTGGACTGTCTGTACCAGCAATGTCGGGGCACGCTTAAATAACAGACTGATGGAATCATGACTCCTTAGGAAGGACTATACTATTGTTTTGGGGTTTTGTTTTTTTTTTTTTTTTTTAGGACTATACTATTGTAACAATAGCGGAAAATCAGTCCGGGGGTGGAAATTTGGGAAGGGAGGAATCCCAGACTGTAGAGTTGTACCATAAAATTCAAAAATTCAAAATAAAAATTAAAACAAACAAAACAGAAAAAGAAGAGGAAGCCTAAAATGGTGCAGGGGGGGGACTGATCAATCTTTAAGACTGATGTTCTAGTCACCCCTCAAAATCATTACACAATGCATAAAAATACTGAAATAGCACACTGCAAACCCAAAATATGCACATTATGTCTCTTACTTTACTCAATTAAAGGTAATTTTAAGAGAAAGCCAATATCTAAAGACCTAAACGGGTAGCTGCTTCTACATTGTCTCTCTGACTTCTCCTATTTCTCGAGCCTTTAACTCAACAACACTAAACATATCAAACACACTCCTACGTGAAGACTTTACGACAATCTGCTTATTCTGTTTAGAATATTGTTCTTGTTCAGAGTCAGTTTTTTTAAACAGCTGTACCTTGTGATGCCAGTATTCAATATTAGAGGGTCAAAATCTTGGCTTTTCTGCTTTGGATCTAGTTCCCTTGCTAATTCGACTGGGAAAGATGATTCAAGTATTTGAGCCTCTGCCATCTATGTGGCAAACCTGGCCCAGTCTGGCTGCTGATGCCACATGAACCAGCTGATGGAAGATTTCTCTCCCTTCCAGATTAAATCTTTTTTTTTTTAAATCCTGCCTACAGACATCCATTTGACTATTTCCCTACCAAACTGAGTCTTGGCTCAGTTTTCACCTGAATTATTAATGAAATCTATACTGAGAGTCCTACAAAAGGGATCTGCAAAAAGTACATGGAAAATGCATATTGTGAGGAAATTACGTATGAATTTTACAATATTTTGAATCAAATAAGTTAACCTTTTCATTCCATGATGCAGGAACTTTTTGAAGCACCCTCAATTTACTGCAATTTATTCTCCATCCAATATCTTCTTACTCTAGTTCTACTTACGTTGCTTGTTTGTTTTCTGTATTCTCAATAGAATGCAGGCCCAATTAGGGATTTTAGCACTTGTTTTTTTTTTTTTAAGGATTTATTTCTGAAAAGCAGAATCATAAAAGACACAAAAAGGAGTGACAGTGAGCAAGCTAGCAGTGGTCAGAACTTGGCATATCTGAAGCAAGAAATCAAAAACTTCCTCTGGGCCTCCCATGTGGGTACAAGAACCCAAGGACTTGCAGCAGTTGGGACATGAACTATAGCCTTCAATGCTATGGCCCTGCCCAATTTCTTTCTTTCTCTTTTTTTTTTATTAGAAAGGTACATACATGGGCCCGGCATGGAGGCCTAGCAGCTAAAGTCCTCACCTTGAACTTGTCGGGATCCCATATGGGCACTGGTTCTAATCCCGGTGGCCCCGCTTCCCATCCAGCTCCCTGCTTGTGGCCTGGGAAAGCAGTCGAGGACGGCCCAAAGCCTTTGGACTCTGCACCCACGTGGGAGACCCAGAAGAAGATCCTGGCTCCTGGCTTCAGATCAGCGCAGTACCAGCCGTTGCAGTCACTTGCGGAGTGAACCATTGGAAGGAAGATCTTTCTCTCTGTCTCTCCTTCTTTCTGTGTATCTGACTTTACAATAAAAATAAATCTTTAAAAAAAAAAAAAAAGGTAGATTCACAGAGAGAAGGAGATACAGAGAGGAAGATCTTCCGTCTACAGCACCTATTTGCAAAAGCTGAAGTGAGGCAGGCCATGCCAGACCAGGCCACAGCACGCAAC